TGGTGTGTGAAGTTTGCTTCTTTAGTTGTACACAGGAGGTTAGGCATGCTATAAAAGTGCGGTAACAGTGGCCTTATATGTGTATTGCACAAGATGCTGCACCTGGAATCAAACTGACCACAACAGTGAACTCACGTCTGCTCAGAGGCAGATTATACATTTTGTTTTGTAAACCTACAATGGCCTACAATGCAAGAAAATGACAACATGTTGCTTCTGGGTTTTTTTGTTTTAAACTGGGTCACATAACCCACTTGGCAGAATAGTGGCCTGGAATGAACACATATTAAATGAAGAAGACGAGTAATACAGTAATAGAAGAAATAAACAGTAAAATTACCTACTCCTGTTACTTAATGAGTAACATAATCCGATTAGTTAGAGAAGAGTAATTAGTCATTTGTAATGAATTACTTATTTCAGTAACTACCCCAACACTGAAGGGCAGTCGTCCAAGTTCGTATATCCATTACAAGGCAAAGCCATTTCAGAGGCACTGTATATTTTTTAACCAAAGGCTGGGCTAAGCTAACGTATTTAAGATATTTTTAAATATCTAACTTAAGCAATAAAGTTTGTATTTGTATTAACATCTTCTTTTGCTTTCTTGCTCGTGCTTAAGCGATATTTACAAGTTGGAGTTGAAAGAACCGTTGTTCCGTGCCTCGTAGGAATGCCAGAGCCAGTTTAACGGGAACCTGGCCAATTCCCGTTTCACCCATTATAACAAAAAACACAACTGCAAAACCCTTTAGGGCGCTCGCTCCTGAGTCCTCAGTGAATGGGGATGAGCTGAGCTAAACAGGTGAAAAATTAGATGGTTTCTAGCCATACGTGGGAACTTCCTTTAATTTTGGAAAGTGGGAGGTTGTGTTCCATTAAACAATCTAAAAACTTGAACAGTATCTTTTCCTTTTTCAACAGCAAACAGGTTTTTGGGCTCAGTGCTAGGTTCCAGCACTGAGTGCTGACTGGTTAGCATTACTGCTACCTAATAGCAGTGTGTTGATTGGTTGGCGTTACTGCTTTGGTGTGCTGATTGATTAGTGTTACTGCTGCTGAATGCTGATTGATTAGCATTACTGATACAGAGTGCTGACTGGTTAGCATTACTGCTACTGAGCAATTGATTGGTTAGTGTTACTGCAACTGAGTGCTCATTGGTTAGCATTACTGCTACTGAGCAATTGATTGGCTAGTGTTACTGCAACTGAGTGGTGATTGGTTAGCATTACTGCTATTGAGTGCTGATTGGTTAGCATTACTGCTACTGAGTGCTGATTGGTTGGCGTTACTGCTAGTGAGCGCTGATTGGTTAGCATTACTGCTACAGAACGCTGATTAGCATTACTGATACGGAGTGCTGACTGGTTAGTGTTACTGATACGGAGTGCTGACTGGTTAGCATTACTGATACAGAGTGCTGACTGGTTAGCATTACTGCTACTGAGCAATTGATTGGTTAGTGTTACTGCTACTTATTGTTGATTGATTGGGATTACTGCTACCGAGAAATTATAGGTCGGCATTACTGCAACTGAGTGCTGATTGGTTAGCATTACTGCTACTGAGTGCTGATTGGTTGGCGTTACTGCTAGTGAGCGCTGATTGGTTAGTATTACTGCTACTGAGTGCTGATTGGTTGGCGTTACTGCTATTGTGTGCTGACTGATTAGTGTTACTGCTACTGAGTGGTGATTGGCTGGTGGTTGAGCTAATCAACTCATTGGCTGAGTGAAGTGGTTCATACTGACGTCATGGATGCACATAAGACACTACAAAAGCGCTCACAGACATAAGAGCAGTGTTGAAATATTTTGTTCTGTGTTCAGAAATTAAGAGTGTTTTTCAATATTAAAAATGATTAAGCATTTACTACTGTGGAGCATGTTTGATTAAAGGTTCTTAGACTACCCTTTAACGATTCTTGAAAAACATACATTGTAAACCTGCCTTAAGAGGATAATATAGTTAACGAGTGCTGGAAGCTTGTAGCCCATCAGTTAGCACGTGCAAACTGTGTGACTGCACCATCACAACTCAGCTTTTACATGTAAGTGGCAAATTGTATTTAGATTAGATTTTTTTCCCTTTCCCAGTTAGCAAAATTTGTCTGGCCCACCTGTGGACCACATCTTTGGGTTTGTTCTGGCCCAGTATATAGCTGGGTGCTCGGCCCAGATCTGGCCAACTCACTGTAAAGTAAATAGAACTAAGGGATGTGGCTTAAACCTGGCCCAGCTACATTAGTCCACAACATTCATGCCAGAATTAGTCCACAATTTTAGACATGAGGCAAAACTGTACGAAGCTGTCCAGCATTTGGCCTCCCATGCTTAGTGGTCAACCAACACTCACAGAGAAAAGCCAAAATAGGCCCAAAACTGTCTGCTATGTGGGTTTAAACATTGGGTTTGTACCTGAAGTCTTTTCCTCAAAGATAAAACACAAACTCTTTATGGAGCATCAGGCAAGTCTTCATTTAGGCCTGTCTATTCTTCTGTCCTGCGAAGGCGTCCATTTATCTATATTTCACTGCTCTACACTTCTTCTGCTCATTTAATAATCAATATAGTTCTCATTCAGATGTTTAAACACTTTTTCAATTAGCCAAACTGAAGCCTTCAGGGTTCACAAAACTAACATTGCTTCAAATGACAGCACAGAAAGCAAGTGGGCAGCTTAACTTAAGTGTTTATTACCCATCACTTCAATTAAAGGTGGACATCCGTGTCTTTTTCTACATTCAGTCGAAACCAAATCAGTTTTGGTATGTTTATCTCTCACACACATATATATCCATATCCCATACCAACAAGCACATACACCCTTACAAACACACAGACAAACAAACTGCGCTACCACATGTAGCCTCTTCACCCCCAAAAACAATCCATAAAACAACACAAATAAATTAGAAAGGCAACGTTCAGTCATGCACTAATTAAACAAACGCAACAAAAATGATTCTACATGTAAATTAAAACGTGGGAGCGCTCCCAATTCAAGTGTCAATGTTTTTAAAAATGCAAAACAGTGCAAATACATCCACGTAGTGCCGTAAGCACAGACACTCACCCAAGCGACACTGATCCAGGACCGTAACCTACACGCTTCTATCAGACACCAAACACGGCATACACACAGGTGATATGAAGAGAAGAGTGAATACATTCCCCACACTGGACTGCATTCTGAAACATCACTGTAAGTATATAGGTTTGAATGTACACATTTTAGTTGTTCTTACCCTGTTCCATGCGTCACTGTGAGATGTTTTACAGTCCTATGCACAAGTCAGTGACCACCCTTCATTTATTTTATGTCCAGGCAAAATGGCCATTAAGTTATTCGTTTTTCAGCTTTATGTAACAAGAGCAGAAAACAGATTTAACTGAAAACACATCATCGCTGTCCGAACAAAAACAACTCCAAAATGGCAACAAGGCAAAAGCGTTCTTTACTTTAAATGTAAGTTAATGTAAAATAGTGTTATTCCAAGAAATTTTGGAGCATTTCTGTTGGAGCAATCAATATAAATTTCAATATTTGTTTTGGATAGTGACGATATATTTAGAAGAAAATGTCAGAAAAGCCTCAACAACTAAATATATATTTTTTTCAGTATTTATTGTGTCCATCCTTTGCCGTTATTACAGCTTCCAGTCTTTTCAGGAGACTTTCTTTCAGCTTTCCAAAGAAATCTGCAGGGATATTTTTCCACACCTCCAAAGTTCAGTCTTAGAAGTTGGTTACACTTTCAACAAGTTCAGTGATGTTGAGGTCTGGACTCTGGGGTGGTCAGACCTTGTTGCTACATATCCTTTCACAGTAGAAGGATGGACAGAAGTTTCTGTGGATTTTTTCAGATCTACAGCAGAAGTGGTGCTTGATTTTCTCCTCTCTCTCAAAGATGAAAGCTTTAAGTGCTGTTAATCTGATGGGGACAGTTTTGGTGGTTTACCAGATATTTTAATACTTTTTAATACTACTGTTTTGTTTTTTTTTGACTTGACTCATTTTCCTCATGCAAGCAGATTATCTTATATCTATTCTCTTCAGAAGTATCTCCTGAAAAATGAATAACTTGTATTTAATGGCCGTTTTGACTGAAAATGAAATAAATGTAGGGTGGTCTCTGACTTTTGCACTTTTTGTACTGTATATTTAAACACCAGATGATATAATGATAATGCTTTTTGTGCGTAACACGTCACACTGGTTTAAAGAAGAGGCAGCTTTGCTGAGAAGTGAACATCCTGGACTGTGAAGCGTCCATGTGTAGCACCATTGATTTCTCTTTAAGGACTGTGAGCAAGACTCAAGACTGTTAAGGTGTTGAGTAATATTAAAGCAGCGGTTTGCCAAAAATCAAATTTACAAAGTTTCCCCTTTACCCCAAAACATGTCTGGTGTCTGAAGTTTGCTTCTGTAGTTTAGCACTGGAGCTATGAGGCTAACATAACTAACAAGTAATGGAAGCATATACACTTGCTTTAAACCACATTGAGTTAAAAGGGAATTCTACCTTTTTTTTTTAAAGATATAAACAAAATTATTCAAGGTGGTTTGATGTAAAATGCGCCATTCTAGAGAAAATTACTGAGTCAGAATTGTTCAGAGTGGTGGTGATAGGAACCAGACATCTGAAGAGTTTAGGGCCTCTAAAATATACATCACAGAAAGTTATTTTACAAAATGATTATGAATATGTTGCCTGATGCTTCAAATCATTGTTTTACGACATTATTGAGATATATTTTTATGTTTATGGCAGAGGGGTGCAGGGAGGCAAAACAGTCCCATTAAAAAAAATCTTTTTTTTTTAATTTATCACTATTTTACCATCAACACTGCATATAAAAACTCAGAAGACATGTAAGTTCACTAGTCAGTAGTAATAAAATGGCTATATTTCAGTTGATGGAACCCCTGGTTCCTATCACCATCACTGTAAAGTAACCTGTATTTCTCTACAGTGAACTATTTCAGATCCAACTACTCTGAATGACTTTGTCTACATTGATTAAATTGCAGAAAAAGTGAAAAATCAGTGGAAATCCCCAAACAGAACTGTTTATGTGGTTTCTGACACTATAACATAGGCTGAGTATCAAATGGCTTCCTCATCCCTATATAGTGCACTATGTAGGCCATGAAATAATGGCTTCCACACCTGAATAGAGCTTCATGTGTGGAATAGAAAGTCATCATATTCAGTCATTAGCTGCACAGCTCTCTATCTAACATTTAGAACAATATGTGGGTGTAGGAGCCATAGTTTCATGCCCTATGCAGTACACTTTAAGAGGAGTAGAGAGCCATTTGAGATCCAGCCAAAGTTAACTACAAAAATGGATAGCGGTGCTGCATAACTGGTGGAGTGTAAGCTTCCACTACTCGTTAGCAACATAAGCCTTGTAGCTCCAGTGCATTAAGTAAAGTTAAGCATCTTCATTCGGGGCAAACTGTGAAAACCTGGTTTTCTTCAAGTGTTCAGCAATATTAACATTTAGTTAATGAACAGCTACAGTTAGATTATATCTTTACATACTTTTAGTTGGAGAATCACAAACAATATGTGGTTTGCATGTTTTGCGGTTGACTGGTGATTTAATACTATGAACTTGACCTTATACCATTACTCTAGTTTATTAAAGCTACATATTGTTAATTGTACCTAATTCGGTTATGTTCAAGAGCAAGTGTATCAGGTTGTTGTTGTCCAGTAGGATTCAGGTATGTGTTTAAAATGAGGCTATTTAGATTAAGACAGAATTTTAATATCTTAGTGTCAGAACCGATTCTGGCTCAGTTCACCTGTGGAAAGGTTTGGTATAGTGTAGGCAGGGCTGTGTAGCGAAGCTGAATTTGGTATGCATTACTATAGCTCAGGTCAGAGAGTCTTGGTGGGTGAACTCTGGGTCAGAGCTGGGGTCCAGGTGGGCATGATCTACGTCCGGGTCATTCTCTTCATCGCTCTCGGCACTGTAGTCCACTTCCTCTAGAAATGTAGGCTCATCTTCCTCCATCACGTAAGTGGTGGGACTGCAGGGCACACAGGACACACACACATACCATCAGCAGTCAGTCAATTCATTCTTCGTTAACAGCAAAAGATGTTGCGGGAGATATGATTTGTATCTGAAACATGTTGCACTGGACATGGCATTTAAATAAACAAGCAAAATAGATTTATTTTAAAGGGACCATATAATGTGCTATGAGAACACTGTAAAGTTTCAAAACAGTCAGTAAAGTCTAACTAAGCTGCAAAAACAGTTGAGGTCACAACCATGAGTGCACTCACATATGCCAGTCTTTTCAGCCTACACCAATTTCTCTCACTCATTCAGGCTGAGATGTTAAGGAGTATTATTATAGACAGTCTATTGCAGAGTTATTGGAGAGGAAGATGTCAGGAAAAACAATTAAACGCTGTGCTGTTCCTGGCTGTCGGGAAGCGATTGCATCATTGTTTTAATGTACCTGTGGATTTCAATCCAAACTTAACAATTTGTTCCATGCATTTCAACCCAGGTCGCTTTCGGCACGAGCCACAGTGCAGGGCAGCCAATCAGAACAGAAGTTGTTTACATATATAAGTCTCAACGGCACAATAACAAAAATAAATGCTGAGAGATAAAGAGAAGTGGGGAAATGAACTATGACTGTTTTTGGTACACAAAGACACATAAATGTTATAAGTGAACTTATATATACAGCTGTATGCAAAGGTTTGAACACTCTTTAGAAAAATTACATATTCTGTTGATTTTCAAAGTGAAAAAAACAGTGAACAAACCCAAATGTGACAGTTTTCTTTGAATTTTACTGCACAGTTTTCTATTTACTTGCTGAGTTTAAAATATTGGGGGGAAAAACCATAAAATATAAAATGTGCCATAACTTTTGCACAAGCCATGTTTTATGTTTTTTTGTGCCCCCTGTATGTTAAATGGAACAAATAAACAGTGATTGTGCATTAAAATGTGCAAAAGCGTGTTGTGTGTACAGGATGTTATTTTCACGTAGAAAAATAAACAAAACATAATTTGACTGGGGTGCCAAAACTTTTGCACACCATTGCATTTATGATGCAAGAAAAACATAGAGTATGGGCCTGTAACAGCACACTGTGCCTACGTCTTTGAGGTCCTTTTTACACACTTTAAACCGTTTCTTTGCTTTCTTTCGTAAATGAGGTGCATCCTTTTATAACCCCGTTCAGCGCTGTCCAGTACGCTAACACTGTTGCCTAAAAAGTGGCCTGAAATCTTTCAGTGGTTCAAAACCCTCACAAAGCAATCTACTTCTCCTGTTGTCTCCCTCTCTCTTTCTCTCTCTCCATCTCTCTCTCTAATACAATAATGCGATGATGGTTTTATGGCTCTCTTGTTAAGCAGTTAAATGGTTTAATGTTTTCGTGTGTTCTCCGTGGTCTGGTGGTTTGGCTGGTTTCAGTGGCTTTTTAATGGTTTTAATGGTGTGAGGGGGTGAGAAACTGGATCCCAGAGAGACGTGGAGAGGGGAGGGGGGTCAGACACTGGGGGCCGCCTCAAACTGGATTAGCGGCCTTTCGGATCAGGTGATTAGACGGCTGTAATGAGGAGAGTGGCTAGAGTGCTTCGCTTACTTCACTCAAGTGCGGAGTGCCCTGCGTGACTGAAAGCTCCTCAAGTACTGCTGACCATTAGAAGAGCGAAGGAAGATACACACTTGGGGGGTGGGGCGGGGTGGTCATCCATTAAAGAAGTAAACAAGCAGGGAGAGGCAGAGGTATGTTCTTCAGAAGCTTCTAGACTCTGATATCATCATAGCTATTACAGTTGTGATCGTTTTCAGTCTGTTTTTTTAATGTCTGGAAGCCATATGCTCATTCTGTCTGAGAGGTGAGAAGCATACTGTTCCCATGACTAAGACAAGGTGACCCTTTGTAGGAAAGTCAGTTCATGGTCTTAACATTCATATGAGAAAAAAAAGGATCTCAATGTCTCAACATCAACAACTCTGCTCCTTTCCGCCCAACACATTTTGAGTAAAAAGCATGAAAAGGTAGGTGTAATGTGTGTGTCTTCACTTAAGAATCTAAATAAAATGTTTTGTTTTGTCTACTTTAGCTCAGTGTCTTTACGAGAATCAACGTTTTGTGTGTTTTTTTTTTTTGTTTGGATATTAAAATGACGAAAGACAGCATGGACCATTAGCATTCATTTTGCAGTATCTTCATACTGGCCTGAATTAGAGCGCAAAAGTTTGAACACGCCTGGTCAAATTACGTTTTGTTGATTTTCTAAGTGAAAATAAGTGAACACATCCTCTACAGAGAATATACCTCTGTGCATTGTAATGCACAATTACTGTTTATTTTGTTTAACATATTGGAAAACATATTTAACATATTGGAAAAAGAAAACAAGATATAAAATGTACCATAATTTTGCACAGGTCACATTTCATGTTTTTTGTTTTTTTCATTATGTTAACTTCAGCAAATACACAGAAGTTATGCATTAAAATGTGCAGAGGAGTTGTTGTGTTAACTTATTCACTTAGCAAATCAACAAAACACAAAATTTGACCAAGGGTGCCAAAGCTTATGCATACAACTGTACACAGAGACTTTGTTACACATGCATAAACATTAAACAATGCATTTATAAAGCAATACTTAACTCCAAGATGATGTAAGATGTATTATGAAGTAAATGACATTGGACTGCCATAAGGGGTCGTAAACCAAAGTGACAATTGTTTCGTTTAGAACACTGTTATAAAGCATCAATCCCAAGCGATGGAACTTATAAGACAGAGGCCTAGTGAAGAGCTCCTTCTGTCATCTCTACACATCCTTCTGATTGAATTTTGTGTACAGAAGTACAATGTATATTAAGGAGAGCTGGGCTGTGTGTCTGCAGGCAAAACTCTGAACTGTCTTTCATGTCGCAGACACTCAGGTCTCAAAACATGACTGTAATAACTCACACTGGTGATTTGACCAGTGGTGCCCAAACTTTGGGATTTGATTGTCTGTATGACCTCATGTTTTGTGTATGTGTGTGTGTACATACCAGGTGATATTGCAGCGTGTCTCTATCAGGTCACTCTCCATGTCCAGCAGGTGCGTGTGGTGGTTGCGGAGCTCCAAGGGGGAGGTGAGGCGCCTCAGTCTGAGCAGAGCTACACAGAACTGAGATCCCATCTCCTCCAGCTCCCTCGTCCCAATCTGGAGACCCTACACATACGCGCACACACACACACACACAGAGTCATTGTCATACGAAAATATCAGTGCAACTGTAACTTTACAGCAAAATGGAAACGGAGAGAGACCTTAACATGACTGAATGTGTTTGATTTCTCGGATGGTGAGGAGCAGAAAATGCTACCAACTTCTAAAACTGAACTTTATAGGTGTGGAAAAATATCTCTGCAGAATTCTTTGAAAAACTAATAAAGACAAAGGGTGGACACCCTAAATACTGGAAAAGTGTGATATCATGTTTCTGTTCAATTTTCTGTAAACATATGCTTTCATTATATATATATATATATATACACACACATACACACACACACACACACACACATACATATACATATATATATATATATATATATATATATATATATATATATATATATATTCATTATATAAATGTTATACATTTTGACTGGAAATTAAACGAAGGTTTGTGGCTTTTTTTGGGTTACAAAGCTTTCTTATGACAGCAACAACGTGATAAAATAACCGGTTTCGTTCAGAAGGCTAAAACCTGGAAAATCACTGTCATCTGGAACATGTGGCAGTTATAGAAATCCACTTTAAAGACCATAGGTTGGTTCAAATTGCTGGAGAAGAGGATCAACTAACAGGCTGAGGGACTGCAGGCTTTGATCTAAAGCACTTGACCCTTGCTTCCTCCAGGGTTTTGTGTGCAATTCGTGCACTGCCTGTCCCCCCGAGACATGGGGTTCAAACCTCTCTATGAGTGCAGAGAAAATATACAGTCACTACAGACGGGGAAAGCTTCAGCCATGTTGCTTTACTCTCTCATGGGGAGCCATTATCTGCCCTGTCGAGAGAACACGGAGAATGAGTCACCGTTTTACACACCAGAGATTTCAGCATCATCATCGTCGTCAGCGCCATCATCTACTGTCCTACAGTGCCATCTAGTGGAGAAACTGCCCCTCTCTCTTTCTTTCTCGACTCGTCCTTTCTTACTATCCCGCTTCCTCCTGATCCCACTGTCTGCTCAACAAACATCTGAGACTCATCATGAGGCCTGGACTGGCCTTGTGGAATTTCAAATTAGGGTCAGGGAAAATATCCCCTCAGTGTTCCTAACAGAAATCTAAGTCATACAAGGCAAATATAATAACACCAATATACATTTCCATGAACTGAAGCCCAACAGGGGGAAGCAATTTTGACTAGCCCCTTTTCAGAGTGGTCTCAAGACAGTGGGGTACGAATACGGTCTGTTTAAAAACACACAATACAATATTCACTGAACATATTTTGAGGGCATTTTCATATATAAGCAGTAATTGTGTAATAAAATGTGCAGAAGTGCGTTGTCTGTAGAGGAGAGTTAACCAGGGGGGCCCAAACTTTCGCTTACCACCACTCCAGTCGATGCTATACCAAGCATCGACTGGAGTGGTGTAAAGCACGTCGCCACTGGACTCAGAAGCACTGAAATGTGTTCTCTGGAGTGATGAATCTGGGTTTGGCGGATGCCAGAACAACACAACCTACTGGAACACACAGTGCCAACAATAAAGTTTGGTGGAGGAGGGATAATGGTCTGAGGCTGTTTTTCAGGGTTTGGGCTCGGCCCCGGAGTTCAAGTGAAGGATACTGTTAATGCTACAGCATACAAAGACACTTTAGACAATTGTATGCTTCCAACTTTGTGGCAACAGTTTGGGGGAGGCCCTTTCCTGTTCCAGCATGACTGTGCCCTTGTGCAGAAAGCAAGGTCTATGGAGGAACTCTGAGAGTGGTCTGCACAGAGTCCTGACCTCAACCCCAATGAACATCAACTTGCAAGCCAGGCCCACTCGTCCAACATCAGTGCCTGACCTCACAAATGCTCTTTTGACTAAGTGGGCACAAATTCTCACAGACACACTCCAAAATCTTGTGGAAAGCCTTCCAAGAAGATGTCTAACTCATACAGGTGTGATGGTCAGGTATCCACATACTCTTGGCCATAGTGTGTGCTAAAGGTATAAATAGATCCCAGATCCGCATTCTCATTCTTCCTGATACGTCTGATAAATATGGACCCAGCCTTTGAAATGTTTCTAACACTAAATTTTACCTTGTATTTGCCCTGGTCACAGCCGCACAGCGTGCTTTCCATGGTGTAGCTGCGCTGGACGCCAATCTCCCTCCACACCACTACACGGGCTGTGGACTCTTTGGAGCGTTCCACCACGAAGCTGCAGCTGGAGAGGCTGAAGGCAGGGGCCAACTGAGACAGCAACTTCGGCAGGGTCTAACACACCAACAAAACACATCTGCTTAAACAGTACTCTTCCAATCTGCAGCTGCTGCTATGGACACGAGGCTGCAGAAGAATTTATAAGATCAAAATAATGCACCTAATTCTGTTTAGTATTTCTGTAAATAAGTGGCAGACAGAACAAAATTCATTGGGCAGGTACGGTCTATACCTGGTCAATAGGGCTGTTCATTTCTAGAAATTTTGGAGTCGACTCCAACTCCAAGTGACTGGTATCAATTCCAGGAGTTGAATCCATACACTAATTTTCTTGATTCTCAATTGCAAAAACTAAGTTGTAAGCCCATTTCTCATACATTTTTACACAGGAATTTAATGGTAATTAAACGGGAAGTGGTTAAGCGTCAACTAGTAGAGAGTGGTACGGCCAAAAATTGACAGCAGGGAAAAAAGAGAACCATTCTGGTTTGTATATGCATGTGTGTGTGTGTCTGCGTCTGTGTGGTACCCTGTAGCCCAGGTCCTCCTGCAGGTCAGAGGAGCTTGCGCTGACGTTGGTCTGCCACACTGTCTCTTTTATGCTGCAGCCATACATGAACACGTTCTTCTTGCGTGAGTGACCATGGTAGTCACAGAATACCTACACACACACACAAAAAAAAACACACACACACAAAGGGAAAGCACAGAGTTAACTGAAATATTTCATTTATTTAATTTCCAGACAAAAATGTCATTAAGCACAAATCATTTTTCAGCTTTAGCAAAACAAGCAGAAAACATACAGTTGTTGTCCAAACAAAGCCTCATATCTGCATAATGGTAAATTTACAAGAGAAGGAAAAAACTTAATGCTTCTTAAGTCGATGCTGCTGTTATTTATCCCAAATCATTCTGAATCACTTCAATTTGGTCCATTTATCATGAAATTGTGACTGTATTTCTACAAGCACTTCTACCACTGACATCTACTAGTATTAAATTTCTCCACTCTTTACTTTTGTGCACTCCACTGCCACTTTAACTCCCCCCAATCTTAAAACCAACCCCTTACAGCTGTCCTGCCAAAAAAAGCTGCTCCCAAAGAGTCAATGACATCACGTTCCCTTTCAAAGAGACACTAGCATTCACACAAGTAGCTACTCAAACAAACCTTAGCTGCCTTCAAATTTCAAGTGTCTAAAATGGCTAATGGAGATATTTCAGAGGAGATTAGATATAAGATAAGCCACTTGCACAAAGGTGGAAAAAGTCAACAAAAAACAGCAGTTTCAACATCACAACTGAAGTTAAAGAAATATTTGAAAGATACAGAGAAAATGGAGTGTCTACCAACTGTGCAAGACCTGGTAGACAACAGAGTTTGCACTGTATCACCGAAACTGGACATCTGAGATGTGGAGTAAAGTTTTATAGACTGATGAGTCCAAATATGTAGTTGTGCTTATTTAGATCAGGAGGAGCAGAAAATGCAATCAACTAGGACTGGAGTGGAAATGATATTTAGGCTTCTGTGTAATGTTTTGTACTTAACGGCCATTCTGACATCTATTTCATTTTTCATTCTACGCACTCTTGCAGTATCAAAACAACAACAATAGCTTTAATGCTTCTCAATGCCTACATTTTGGGAAATGATGACCCAATGAACCCCACACCAGACCACAGCCGAGTTCAGATTTTACACTTGGTGCTGTGAGTATGGCCAGAATACAGGAAGAATGTTTTCAGCCAATACCAGTGGAGTTCTTCCTATAGCGGTGAGGTACTGCAGCAAACTCTTGGTGTGGTAGATGGTGGGGTGCAGCTCCGCACTGGGGTTCAACCACTGTCTGTTCAAATCCTCACCACTCAAAGAACACCTGTGACTACAGAGAGAGAGAGCGAGAGAGAGAGAGAGAGAGAGAGAGAGAGAGAGAGGGAGGAAGAGATACAAGGAGAGAAAGAGAAAAAGAGAGAATTGGCAGGCATGTGAGAGGGAGAGAGACAGACAGAAAGAAAAAGAAAGCAAGAAAGAAAGAAAGAGAAAGAGAAAGACAAAGAGAGAGCAAGAGAAAGAGAGAGAAAGAGAAAGAGAGAGAGCGCAAAAGAGAGTGGGCGGGCGGGTGAGAGACAGCGAGATATATGGAAAAAGAGAAAAAAAGAGGAGAGAGAGAGAAGAAGGAGCAGGTGGGAGAAAGAGAGTGAGAGAGAGAGAGAGAGAAAGAAAGCAAAGAAAGAAAGAAAAACAGACAGGGACAAAAGAGACAGAGATGAGATAGGCAGAGAAAGTGGATGTGCAATAGAGTGAGCAAGAAAGAAACAAAGAAAGAAAGAAAGAAGGAATGGCAGAAAGAAAGGCAGAAAGAAAGGCAGAAAAGGTAGAAAAGGCAGAAAGGCAGAGAGAAAGACAGAAAGGCAGAGAGAAAGACAAAGGCAGAGAGAAAGACAGAAAGAAAGACAGACAGAAAGAAAGAAAGAAAGAAAGAAAATAAAGAGACAAAGAAACAAAAGACAAAATGACCAAGACACCAACAGTTTAGAAAGAGCGCGACCAAACCGTCTGTGTAGTGACTGGATGATTTTAAGCCTGCGTGTGGACGTACTTGCCGTTGATGACCCCGTCTGGGTTGAGCATGGGGATGATTTTGAAGATGTAGCTCTCTCTCAGGCTCTGTGCCAGAGGACTGGAGCTCATGAGGAACTCCAGAGTGCCCTTCATCACCCAGCTGGCGTTGGTCTCTCCTGGGTGAACTCGCGCTGACAGGAACACGACTGGCCGATTCCCTGCACAAAACACACTGCTCAAACACTGTGTGTGGATGTGAAGTCCTTGACTGGCAGGTGCGGTTACTGCTTGGTGGTCTCCAACACTGTAAAAGTGTATTTATTTGGGTACATTTTTCTGACTTTTTTAAAACAGAAGGAAAAAAATCATTTCTTTTTGGTTACTGAATTTGACATTAGGGTCAGATTTGGGGTTAGACTTAGAATGTTTTTATACATGTAGATATTTACATTTAAAAAGCTATTTCCAGACAAATTCGGCAATTCGTGTTTATTTGCTCAGACAAATACTAATTTTAAAATGAAAATGGCATTAATGCAATAAGAAGTGATTTTATGTACGTCATTGTTCATTTAACCATTTCCAAAGCTCTCCTCATGGCAGCCCAGTATTACTTACAATCGAGGATACAATCGAGGAGAAAGGTGAACAACATCTCAACAGCTTTTTGAAAGCAAGATGGTTTTATTAGTTTTCAAAGTATTTATGGTTGTATTTATTCTAAGGATATGTAGAATTTACTGACAAAAACACATTTACTACAGCAATAAACAGTTTGCTTAGGTGACTAAAACTTGTGTAGTGTTTAAATATTATATTTATGGGACATTTTATTATAGGTATTTGTATACAGTCATATGCAGAAGTTTCAACATTACTGTCTAGCTGATTTTTTAAAGTAAAAATAAGTTAAGCACAATTACTATTTTTTAAGCACAATTACTATTTATTTGCTGATTTTAACATATTGACAAAACTAAAACAACAAATGTGGCCTGGGCAAAATTATGGCATGTTATATTTGATGTTTTATTTTTATCTGTTTAACTTAGTAAATAGACAGTAAAAGTGCTATAAAATGTGCAGCAGGGTGTTCTCTGCAGAGAATGTGTTAATTTATTTTCACTTAGAAAGTCAACGAAACATGTAATTTGACCAGGGGTGTCTGAACTGTTCCATACAACTACATTTAATGCCTATGCAATCAATGTGTAACACTAACAAGCTATAAGATCAAAATGTATGATTGAGTGTGTGTGTGTGAGACATACTGAACTGGCAGACGTGGTCATTGCCAGTGGACTCTGGCATGGCGGTGATGGTCAGTAGAGGGCAGCCGTTACCTCCCAGCGTCTCGCACAGCTGCTCTTGCCTGTAGTAGATCTGAGGAGTGCACAGAGCACGCAGCTTCTGCAGGTGCATCTGAAACATCACATCAGCCAAAATCTCAGTCACCTTTGCACAAACAGTGAATAAAAAGCATTCTCTACAGTCTTGAATAGACCAGTTTTAATCAGATTACATCACACTCTGCAACTCATTTCTGGTCACTTACGGTTGCTAAAAAATTGGGGATCATACCCTACCCATTTCTGTGCTAAACCAAACTAAACAAACCAAATTTGCACAAAAGCACGCAATTAGGCAACACCAATAACAAAAGAACCATGGTTGGAGTCACTGGCTGTAAAGCACGACTATATTAGATCCAGACTCCAGCTGAAAAAAATGTTATTATTACTTTTTGGCCTAAAACTGGAGGCAGAAAATTACATTTCTCAAATTTTCTGTGCCAATTGTTCCATAGTGTTGAGTTGTTTTCTCACAGTGGAAGGATGGACAGAAACACCTGTGGATTTCTTCAGATCTGGAGCTTGATTTTCTCCTGAAAGCTTTACGGACTGTTCATCTGATAGTGACTTTCTCTTTCCGTACGCAATGGATTATCTTATATCTAATCTCCTCAGAAATATCTCCTGAAAAATGAATGAGATGTACTTGATCATTTCAGGTCTCTGACTTTTGCACGATACTGTATAATAGTGGTAGATATCGCATAATTTAACCATGGCTTAATCAAGCACAGACGGAAATCCCAAAGACACGGTACTGAACACACTGCAAAATAGAGAGGGGAAGTCCAAAACACAGGCCTGACAGACATCATGTTGCTTTAACTAGTGATGATACACCACTCTGCAACTAACACAATAACAGAGCTAACATTAATGAGGCATTTAGAGCTCAGATTGTAAGGAAGAAACATGCAGTGGTAGTTGCAGTGGTGCAGTATAAGAACAGTATACAAACTGAACGTAGATCTAGAGATTTAGGCTAATACCTTCAGGGTAGAGTAGGTGTATGGATAATGGTAGGCAAAGTAACAGACATCATCCTTGTGCTGAAAGTTCACAGTAAAGGTCATGGTGTAGTAGGATTTGCCCTTTTGGCCCCCGGCTGCAATGGAGCTCCGCGAGAAATGGTTCCTATGTGGATAGAGCGGACAGCAGCATTAACCCTTAGATGCCACAGTTATCACTGGGAATAACAAAAGTAATCTGAATATTTAATTATTTTTCACTCAGAGCTAATGCTACAAGCCCTTTCTGTGGTGTCCCAGGTGGTTGCTAAACAAGCAGAGAAATTCTATTGAAGGTGCTGTTAATCCATACCACATCTGTGTTTGTATTCTACTATGATTTAAAGTTATTATTACTGTGTGTACAGGTTTATGGAAAGAAAAACATTTTGGTCATTTATTTTTTTTAACATTGAAACAAACTGGAAAAAGGTGTTAAGTGCAGATTAAAACCAGTCAAAACAGAATGTAAACTGAGTGTAAACTTGATTCATTACATACTAATTAATTAACAGTGATGCACTGAAATGAAAATTCTTGGCCAAAAAATTCAGAACACACTAGGCTGAAAACCAAAAATACTGACATTTAATTAAAAACAATCTACATAAAATAAACCTAAATTAAAAATTATTACAGCATGTAGGCTACAGTACATGCAACAAAAACCAGCATCCTCGACAACAGAGAACAGATTATGTCCCTCATAGAAACCTGAAAAAAAAAACCTTTAAAATGTGTCAATGCTGGCCGATTACAGTATTTGTAAAATCTTGTATTTGTAAAATCTGTCACAAAAAATTGTGACATTTCACTGTAGGCCTATCTCCTCTTTAGTGGATTTTTTTCAGTCCAAATTTTCAGCCTTTTTTACCCCCCCGCTGAAAACAGGAAGTGCTACTTTTGATCAGTGGCTGAAATTTTGGTGCATTGTAGACAAAGACTTAACTTTTTCCATCTCCTTGCATTGTGTTTATGCTATATTTAGATCACTACCTTCTCGTCCTCTACAGCCTTAAATACGACAGAGAAATATTTACAAAGTAAGTTTTATCTGATCAGAGCAGGGCAGTTTCTGAGCATCTGGGGAGCCCTACTCAGGGCACCATCCTACTGGGGGCCCCATACCGACCCCAATCATATTATTTTCAATGCAAGAATGGAAAGGATTAAAACTTTATTTATAACATTTTGTATAAAATAAACATCCAAGGTAAAAAAAAAATAATAATGAAAATAAATAATAACTAGATGCTGGGCATCTAAAACAAAATAAAATAAAATAAAATACAACAAATGTGTGTTTCCATGTGTGCCATGGTCTTTCATGGGGAAAAATAGCTTTGGGGCCAACTGCTTACACCGCTTATAGCAAGTAAAAGCCCTGGATCAGACCCAAATAAAGACAACGGCACTTACTTGTAGTAGCAGATGTCAGATCCAGTACGAACCCAGCGAGGGCTGCCACTGATGGCGTCCTGTACAGAGTACATCAGCACCTGCATGCCTGCCACAAGAAGGTGCACATCTGTATCGATATAGTATTTGAGGTACTTGAAAAATGAACTATGCTAAACTGGTTCTACACACAAAAAGGCGGGGTTAAGGGTCTTGACTAACAGCGTTTAACCAGTAGCAGGATGCAAACAGCTAGGGTGCAAGCTGTTCAAGGCCATAATTTTACTGTTTTTAAAGTGACACTTCTGCAAAAAAGACCAGACAAATGACATGGAGAAACTATAAGGAAACTCTGGAAACCAACCATCTTGGCTGATGACTACATCTGGGATATGGGAAGAACTATGATAACTTAATTTTCCACCAAACTATTGCTTTAATTCACTCATTCTCTGCTAGGCTACTGCCAACATACCTCACAGCTAAGTGGTTTAGATGTAAAAGTACTCTGGCTTACCATAGTTGAACTGGCTGTTGGATTTTTCACAGTTGATGATGTTGAAACGATAGGGCACTCCCACACGCATGCCGCTCACCTCAAAGTAGAACCACTGGTGGTAGTGATTACTGTTGATGTCTGAGTTCAGCACCAAGTCATATTCAAACCTGTGGACATTTAATAACAGAATAAATAAAAACGAACACATTTAATGACAGTCAAATGTAATATTCTGCATATCGCTGCTGTTGAAACACACAAAACATTTTTGTTGTTTTTCTTTTTTCTCCATTTTTTTTCAATTTGAAAATGCCCGCTGCCTGTTGAACAGGCCATAACAAATTACTTGGAAGTCTGGTTACACTGACTTACATTGGAAGTAAAGTATGTTTTTTCATTATTTCTCTGAAATCATTTTGGAGATACGAAGTTTTGTTCTGACAGCAGTAATATTCTATCATTACTAATGCACGAATTTTCTTTGGATTGCCTATTATTAGAAAATATCCACAATATTTGAGGGATCACAATTATTACAGTTTAGAAATGTCATTCCTCCTATAAGAATCATGCACAATCAGACACTCAGTCAGGCTACAAACAAAAAAGACATAACATAAACTATATTGAAGGTCTATTAAATCAAACTGCACTTACTTTCTGACTTGAATTGCTTTCCGCAAGTTACCAGATTCAAACTGCGAGTTGAACTTCAGACACTCTCCGTCATCAATGACCGGGCAACTGAAAGTTAACAAAGGGCTTTTTAATTCAGTTAAAATATGGCACTGAGTACTTACTCATTTTTACTGCATGAAATGGATAAGGAAAAAAAAAGTTACAGAAATATCCACTGACCTCTGCAAATCAAGGTCATACACAACTTTGTCCAGGATATCAGTGGGGTGAATGAGTCTCTCAATGTCCTGGAAGATTTTTGACCTGTTACAAAAAATAGTTTTTAATGCGTTATAGTGTCAATCAAGTTCTAGTACTGCAAACAAAATCAAATTGTACTGCCAAAAACTGAAATTCATTAAGCAGTTTTACACAAAGATTAGTTTTGCTGGACTGCCATCAGCTGCACAGTATTATGGCATTATCTTGTATTATTTAGTACAGGCATTCTAGTCTACCTCTCTCCAGAGGTAGACGAAGTAGATTGTTTATCTACAAAGTTTACTACTACCACACCTACTACTACTAGTACTACTACTGCTCATAACTATGTTGATATAATGAGATATAATTAAGCAATAGAACACGAGAGGGAGTGTGTTATCGCAAAAATAACAGCGATTTGGTCTCGGCTCGTGCCGTAGATCATGACAGCTGTGATGTTATATGCGATAACACACGACCTCGGGTGTTCCATTGCTTTTATGCAATAGTTAAATAAATAAATAAAGAAATAAATAAATTGGGCTGTGAACGCGGCATTTAAAATGTTTTAATGTTCGCAATTCCTTCTGCCAAATTATAGTCCCTTAACGAGCAGCTCGTTGCTACATCACAGCAATGAACTCCGCTCACTCACTGCACACCCAGCAGTTCGTTCTCCAGCTCCTTACACTAAATTCCGAAACTCTCATTACCACTGAGCAGCTTTTTTGTTTTTTACTGCGGCAGTTTTATGGCTCAGTCTGATTTGGTCAGACTCTGAAGATGAGACTAAAAGTTTGGCGAATGGTATTTGGTTAATTTCTGGCTGATTCCAGGTTGTTCAGGTGTTCTTCTGTCACAGCTGCTGACTGAAAAGCTGCTCAGTGGTAATAACAGTTCGGGAATTTAGTGTAGTCCCATCTTTAGAGTCTGACCAAATCGGCTGTCGGTCAAATGTAAATGCTAAATAACTTTGGGCTAACTTCTCACCTTGCCAGTAGTGCCAGTAAGCACAGATAAACATGAAATACTCAATGCTGTGTTACTGTACCAGTTATATTAAGAGTTTTTTTTTTTCAATGATGTTTGATGTTCAATGATATTGAATAATGATTGATAATGAATAATGGATGTTTCCTGCTTTCTTTTCATTGTTAGCCTTACGTTAGCCTACTTTTGGCATATGACCATGTGGAAAACAACATTGCTTCATTTAATTAAGCGCATACCGCCACCTGCTGTTTTACTCAGATGAAGACTATCTATGCCAGTCAGTCAGTCGGTTCAGTCAGTCAGTCAGTGACTCAGTAACTGGTGTTGTACTGTTACTTATGTCTAATGCAAAACAAAAAGATGGCGATGAAAAGATGGAAAAAAGAACGGCAACCACCCAAAAAGGATTCCAAAAACATCTAAAGCGGCACTTTACTGTCTACTTACCTCTGCACCCCATAAACTCTCTCTACAATATGCTCCCGAAAGTTGGGCGCCACGTGACCGAAATAATCCGGGTAGGCCACTTCTGTGTAGCCAGGCACAGAGCGTGTCCCCTTCACCATCTCCAGGTACAGGTCAGGGTCATGCAGAGGCAGAAGGGCAGCTGTGTCAGGCACCTCCAGCACCGCCTGCTCCCCACTCTCCTCCTGAGGCCCCTCCCCTCCGCAGCCTCCATTCACTGACTCAGAGGCGTCCAGCAGCAGCTGGCTGAGGCCCTGCACAAGCTCGAGCTCTAGCTTGCTCTCCGGAGCTTTGGAGATGGAGATGCTGTCCAGGTCCACTGGAGCATCTTTGAGCCGGGGCGGCTCCCCTTTGTCTGGCCGTGGGGGTTTGTTTCTGGGGTCAGTCAAAGGTCCAGGTGTGGAGCGAGCTGTGGGTATGATGATAGACCGGAGGGGCTTTGGGGCATCGGGAGCAGAGTGGGATGTAGATTTACTGCCCTCAAATTCACAGTCCTGAAAGAGAGGAAAGGGCTCACTGTAGTGAGAGGTCAACAGATCAGTTAAGACATGTTTGGTGTCTGAAACTACACTGGAGCTACAAGACTAAGGCAGCTAACAAGTAATGGAAGCTTATAACCAACTAGTTAACATTAGTGGGGTTCTATAGCCCTCTCGTTGACGCTTGGCATTGGGCATGGTGACCTTAGGTCATGTTCGGGTGCTCCAAAGCTTCCCATTCTATCAGCAAGTTTTTGTATTGTTTGGATTGAAATGAAGTGAACTGTGTATAAATGCATGTTAATGCAAATATACAAAAGCCTTTACCTGAAAATCCTCAGAGAACTCCCGAAAAAAGCGCTCATAAACTCTCAGTTCCTCAAACGGGCGTGTGAGAACCTGCCTGGGTCGTAGTTTGTTGATATCAGTCTCGATGTCGTCATTCTGCAGAAAATTACAGACAATTTCCTCAAGTTGTATATAAGAGGTTTTGGTTGTATGTGGTTGTATTGCTACACATAGTGAAGGGACTCTACAGATTCAGTGAAATCTATGACATGGTGAAACACTTATTGAAACACTTTCTGGTCTAGACACATATAGAACATAGCACAGGAACATTTTAACAAGATTAAGACAGTATATAAACATACTGAGCAAATTTTCAAAGTGAGCTTTGTACTGTCAGCGTAAATGTTGCTCTATTAGGGAGGAAATCACCTGTGCCCTATGGTCCTTCTCATCCTCTTCAGTCTCTGTATCATTTTCCGTGTCGACCTCCGTGTCTTCATTGTCGTCACTCTCATCCACAACGTCATCCACTGAAGCATGAAAGACGACATTCTATCACACACTGATATTTATTATTTATGTAGCCAAGGGCCAAATCCTACACTCTTCTTGCACTTTATTTTTCACCAGAGGTCCAATTACAAGATTTGTGTAAGTTTTGTATTTAAAATAATTCATTCATACATGACTATTTCCCAAAGTCTTTTTATCCCTAAGAATTAAAAAAGACTGTTTTCGCTACTGTGCCTTTAAGATTGTTATGTAAATGACATCTGTTCGGACCAGCTGCCCTGTATAGTGCCCCATTCAAAAAGGAGTCCGTAGGCTGAATAGGCAGAAATGTGTAGATGCATTAGTTTTGGTGTCATTGCAAAAAAATCTATTCAAAACAGTCTGTTTTTGTGGCTTAATTGCCATATATAAATTATTACCTAAAACTTTAATTTAAAAAAAATAATGAAACTTTGGACTTCCATGGTATGGGCCCTGTAAGCAGTACAATAAAGCGCTCATAAGGATAGTGTGTCAGGCATTATACATGTATTACTAACACCTTTCCACTAGAGATGGAATGATCAATCTGCTACGTATCGGATATTTCTCTAACTTAGCCGATCCTAAGAGCTGATTAGTGATGTAAAACACATGAGCCATATTTAAAGAGCATTTCAGAGTGAAAAGAATAGAGGTTAAAATGTTGAGTTGTCTTCACTCTACCTGAGTTAAAAAAAAAAAAACATAGTGCAGGAAGCCTATATGCAAGTAACCCACAATCCTTTCAGGCTAGGTCATTAATAAGACTATAAGCAAGAGCTGACTGCAATTTGGAGACAGTCCCACCTCACCCTAGTTATTGTTGCTACATCCATCTAACGTTCAGTACAAGTTACCTGTAACACTTGTTCTGATAGAGTGTTATTTTTGCAGGATTTTGTCATGTTACAAATCACTACTGGCACATCTAAGTGAGATGAAAGTGCTGCAAAGCCTCACACTGCGTAAGCGGTAAAACACAGTGGTAATGCCTTGTTTATGTCATTGTGATGCTCTTAACATTACAGTAAATGTGGCAGTGTGTGACATTATTCTGGCCCATCATCTTTTACTCAAGGTCTTTCAGTAAACTTTAAAGAAACAATACAAACAATGGCATGTGTATGAGTGCAATAATATATATCTTTAGTATGGTCTCCTGTGGCATTTAATGCAAAACCTTTTCAGCTTCAGCAACGAAATAAAAACAGCACCACCTTCCAGATGATGAGGATAGTGTGTCAGGCATTATACACGTATTACTAACACCTTTCCACTAGAGATGGAACGATCAATCTGCTACGTATCGGATATTTCTCTAACTTAGCCGATCCTAAGAGCTAATTAGTGATGTAAAACACATGAGCCATATTTAAAGAGCATTTCAGAGTGAAAAGAATAGAGGTTAAAATGTTGAGTTGTCTTCACTCTACCTGAGTTAAAAAAAAAAAAACATAGTGCAGGAAGCCTATATGCAAGTAACCCACAATCCTTTCAGGCTAGGTCATTAATAAGACTATAAGCAAGAGCTGACTGCAATTTGGAGACAGTCCCACCTCACCCTAGTTATTGTTGCTACATCCATCTAACGTTCAGTACAAGTTACCTGTAACACTTGTTCTGATAGAGTGTTATTTTTGCAGGATTTTGTCATGTTACAAATCACTACTGGCACATCTAAGTGAGATGAAAGTGCTGCAAAGCCTCACACTGCGTAAGCGGTAAAACACAGTGGTAATGCCTTGTTTATGTCATTGTGATGCTCTTAACATCACAGTAAATGTGGCAGTGTGTGACATTATTCTGGCCCATCATCTTTTACTCAAGGTCTTTCAGTAAACTTTAAAGAAACAATACAAACAATGGCATGTGTATGAGTGCAATAATATATATCTTTAGTATGGTCTCCTGTGGCACTTAATGCAAAACCTTTTCAGCTTCAGCAACGAAATAAAAACAGCACCACCTTCCAGATGATGAGGATAGTGTGTCAGGCATTATACACGTATTACTAACACCTTTCCACTAGAGATGGAACGATCAATCTGCTACGTATCGGATATTTCTCTAACTTAGCCGATCCTAAGAGCTGATTAGTGATGTAAAACACATAAGCCATATTTAAGGATTGCTGCAGCCCTGCGCAAGGCTCTTTGGTCACAGGACCCTGCAGTTCCTTGTTCAAACGCTAGATGGAAATCCAGGCTTTTGACTGGGGGACTAAAGGCCTATTTATATAGAGTTTGATTTTTACAGATGAAAGAAAAAAATAAAACGCATGCCAAGTTTTGAAAATTAACATACGTATATTAACGCCATACTTTGTGTGAACAGGCCTTAACAGTCCAGCCCAGCCCTTGATCCCCATTGGCCAATCACAGTGAAATCACTGATCGGTATCGGCCCCAAAAAACACTGATCAGTCCATCTCTACTTTCCACCATTTCTTAGTCTAATAACTGTGACTAATTAACTGCCACCGCCGTTCTCACTGCAGGTTTGTTTTGAGTACTGTGGAAGTTTTTCCTCCGCTTGATGGAGGAAGGAACATTTAGAGATATTTGCAATTGCTTGACAGGTATCAATCTTAATTTTGCAAGTAGTCAATTAACTTTCAATTAACCAGTTTGGTTAAATAAAGGTAAAAAATAAAGAGTACAAATGGTTGCATGTGTGTATTCGTGTCTTACCCCCTGGTGGCTGGCTGTAGAGTTGAGCGACTGGTCCACTGGCTGGAACATGTGGTAGTGGGTGGTGAAATACACTCTTAATGGTGGGCAGAGGCAGGCGATTCTTTGGGAAGCATTTTCTCATGATCAGGCTGGAAGTGTTTACTAAAGGATCCAGAGTCCGAACAGGCAAACACTCCTGCTCAACAGAAACACATATCACAATCTGCTTCAGTGGCATTCTAGAAAAAACTGTGTTACCACTCTAACTATAAAACCCACAACATTAAAATGATGTTCAAATTTAAAGTGGGAATTCACTTTTACATTCCAATTACACTCCCAGACGAAAAGATTCTGAATGGTCACCGGGGTGGTACCCCCAACTCCGTGGGGAACCCACAACTCCTTCTAGGCCTTAAGATAAGAAATAATAATTTCTGGGAACTAAGTAAAAAATTACAAGGCTGTAATTTTTAGTTCATTTTTATTCAATCAGTTTTGTATTCGATATAACTATGCTTGTATTTAAATTCTGCAAGTATTAGGGTACTACTCTTGTTTCACTATAAAGGTTTGGATGGAAATTCTTAAAAAGCCGAGCAGAAGATTAGACAATCAAGAATTGTTTTTTCTCAGTGGTGTCTAGGTAGATACAGCTAAGCGAGCTCTCCTTTTGGTTACAGTCACTAACTTAATTTAAGCAGCAGCCTAATGAGTGGGATGTTAGAAATGGAAAACAGTGGCAGCTCTACACCAGGCCTCTCTACTGAAAGAGTCACTGTGAAACTGCTACAAGGCAAAATATATGCTAATATTTCACAAGCTTTAAGCAAAACGTGTGTCTTTTAGGAGCTTCAAATGTCTGTATTTAATCCAGAACTGCCAAAAAGTATTCATGTGAATAGTCGTTAGCTTAGCGCTTACAAACAGCTAGAATCCCCTTAGGGTACTACCAGAAATTAGCATCAGCATAGCAGTGGATCTTTTCCTTATATTTTGACATTTCTGGCCCAAATTGTAGGCCTGGCACTAATAGTCAGTTGCCTCAAGGATACGTCTTCAGCACCTTTAGTTAGGCAACATAATTGTTCTATATTCCATTGCAGTTATAACTTTTTAAGTTGCATTAACTCCATACATCCTGTCTTGACTCTACACTTTTTATGTGCTATGAGAAAGTGAATGTAATGTACCTTCAAGGTACACAACTGAACCTTAATGAGGGTACATTTACAGTGTTTGGAGCTCATAGGACAAAAGTTAACAATTCGATAGCTGCAGAAAATCAGATTTTGTCAGTAATCCGATCAACCAGTTTGCATGCACTTGAGCAATTAGATAACAGGAAAACTCCAGGAATTAATTGGATTTCTGCTTTGCAACTGGCCAATAACCTCACAGAAGAAGCTGTGATGTAAACACAATGCAAAACTTCATGCCACTGCTTTTTTTAATAGCGCCACTTTACCTGAAAATATGAACATACATCACCTAGAAGATGAACAATATTTAAATTCTGCATTTTGTCAAGCATGTATTTGGTTTCAGCGCCGCTCCAAAAGTGTTTTGTTGCCATCTTGCGGGTGCTGTGTTAAACGCTGCTTGCTTATTCGCGGTACCGCGGTCTGTTTTTGCACATGCACAGATTGAGAAATCTGAAAGAAATCTGATTAAGAGTTAATTACTGAGCTGAAATCCAGCTCTTTTTATCAGATTTCTTAATCGGATATTTCAACCTTACTAAGATCTAAGAAATCAGACTATGCTGTTTACATGACAATTTGAATAATCAGATAAGTGCAGAAATCCAATTATGATCAGATTATTGGGTGCATGTAAACGTACCCACTATAGGTTTCATTAAACCTGACGAACAGATTCAACGTGCCCTAAAAATTATTCAGCTTTCAAGCACTTTAAATGCTTCATGTTTTTTTTCCACAAAACCCTGTTCAAAACATTGTTAAACTATACTAGAGTCAACTACAATGAAGAGCATAATTCCTTACAGTTGAGGTGTTATAGAGAATTCTCATTCCATCAGCATCAATGAAGGCCTTCCTGCCCAGCTTAATGTTGGTGATGTGTTTTATGCATCCCAGAATGCTCTTGCGAATCAGCATGTGTCTGTGGCGGGTGTCGTTGCGGTGCCAGTCCTGATATATGGCCAGCAGAGCAGGCACATGTGCCCTATCCACTGCCCGCCGGGCATTCATCTCTAATAAATAAAGAAGAAAAAGGAAGGCCTAACTGACAGGAACGGTAGTGTATATACAAACATACAATATTAATCTAGTGCCTTATCCAAACAACATTCTTCTTTACCCTACATCTGAGATAATTAATATAATTACTATTCTTAAACTCAAATAAGCAAAAAGGAAAAAAACTGATATTGTAGGGTTCATATTTAGCAAATAACCGTGTAATAAACACATTCTGTGTAATGTATGCAAAAAACACTACATGGTTTACATAAGAAGTTACAGTAAAATATTAAGCTTATCTAAAGAGCAACATTTCATATTCTATACCATGATTTATGAATATAATTACACATTAAACTGTAATAAACAAAAAAGAAAAAGTACACAATATATGCAAAAATGTTTTATATATAACATTTTATATATAAAGTCACAGTAATGTACTGCCTGTTCTAAACAAACATCTGTATTCTATACCATCTATAATTAAGATAATTATGCATAAAACTGTCATAAACAGGAAGGAAAAAGCCTAACATATACAGTGAAGTTCGTAAGTACGGAAAACACCTGTAATAAACCCAATCAATAATTTATGCAATACAGGTATAGTTACAGTAATGTGCTAAACTAAACTATAAACTATATTTTCACATTTATATGCTACAGTATGTATATATCTATTGGTACAATCAAACAAAGTCAACATCATAAAAATCTAATAATACAGGGTGATTCAAAAAGATTCATCTGATTTCAAAATGATTTATTTCACTTGTAAATTGCAAATGGTTAAAGTGAGCATAAAGTTTATTATGTAATTTTACAAGAGCTCAATATGAACCTCCTCCAGCTGTACGGACAACATCAACACCACAATCAAATTCATCCTATACTCGATTGAGCATGTCGGGTGTCACTGTACTCACGGCTCTTTCAGTGTGATTTCGGAGATCATCCAGTGTTGTGGAACCAACGATGAACGCTCTGAGCTGTTGGAGGTTCACTACTGACGAAAATCACGTTGCACAGTTATGACGGATTCACTCTTATTGAAGTGGAGAACACAAAACACTTTCTGCTCAGGGGTCGCCATCTCCTCACAGACTGAAGGGAGCCATCTTCTGGTGACAGTCAGAAACTCTATGACCCCCTCTTTCAATTGGTATGTGATTGGTTCCTAGGTGCCTCACGGTTGTAAAAATATGGTGCTTTGAAATCGGATGAATCTTTTTGAATTACCCTGTATACTCAACTACAGGGATCCATAATTCAACAGATGAGAATGGAGTCACCCAAGGCTACTTACTTGATTTCAGCAACGCTGCCAAAGTATCAAGCGCCACCCTGTGATCAAATTAAAGTGACAAATAATACATCCAGCTTCTAAGATCTACACAGACTGAGTAGTGGTAAAAATGAGTATTAGGAATTGGGAAAATGGGCACTGTGCATAAAAAGGGCCGTTTGCGAAATGTTGGCCCATACGTACTTCAGCAGAGTGGTGTTTTTTTTGCTGTATGGTCCAATGACTTTAAACATCAGCTCCACAACTCCACTCTTCCCCAGTGATACAGCATTCACTGCTACAAGCCAGATAGAGAAACAATTAAGCTTTAGAAACCAACCACAGTAACCATTCACAACTAAACTAAAATCAAATGGCAACACGAAAATGAACCTCATGTTCTAGACAGATATCCACCAGAATTCCATCAACTCTAAACATTGTTACAGTTTGCAATACAGACTCCTCCTCATGCACACAATATACGATCTTGAACATGCTGTAATTCCATGATACATCATTGGAAATGTATTACAATTACAATTTGATTGTGTTTTCCACATGAATGATAAAAGTTTGTCTGACAACGTAACACATTTTGAGTCCATATTCTACATTTTGTATAGTTTGTATGTATTCTTGCACTCACAGTTGCTGGAGTAGACTCGGAGAACCTGTAAACATGGCAGCAGGAGTTTGTGGTTCTGCAGGTTCTGTTTTAGTAGATTCACTGTCACATTCAGAGCCCCATTCAGACGTGCTTTAATTCCAAACTTCCTGTCTGCAGAGGGAGGAAAAAAGGATGCAGTACTGTAATAATAATAATAATAATCATCATCATCATCATAATAATCATAATAATAATCATAAGAAGAAGAATAGTATAAAAAAATAAACATAATAGTATAAACACCATAAAATAGAATAAGAAGTTTACTTTTCAGTGTCAGAAAAAAGCAGACAACATTTAACAGAAAATGACACATACGTCTCAACAACTAAACACAATATTAAATATAATACTAAATCCACCTCTATTTAATCTGTCCACTATTTACTTTTGTGCACCCTACTGCCACTTTAGCTCTTCCATCCTTCCAATCTTTAAACCAACCAGCTCCAGCTCTGTCCTTCCAACAAAAGCCTTTCCAAAAGGCCATTTGACTGGGATAATTCGGATCATTACAAGCAGAAAATGCAACCAACGTCTAAGACTGAACTTTGGAGGTTTGGAAGAATATCCCTGCAGATTTCTTTGAAAAACTGAAAGATGAATGGAAGCTGTAATAAAGGCAGAAGTGGACACACAAAACACCGAAAAATGTATATTATATTTTGTTGTTGAGGCATCTTTGTAATTCTCTTTTAATTCTGTGTCTGCTTTTTTTACTCAAGCTGAAAAATAAACTGGTACTTAACAGCTACCTTGACTGGAAATTAACAAATGAAAAGGTGGTCTCTGACATTTGCACACTGCTGTACATACACAACTGATCATGCAAATTAATTGATGAATTATCAGTTATCGATAACGTGGACTCAGATAATCCTCTCATACAAACTTTACTCACTGGAATTTTGGAGGAGTCTCATTATTCTTCCAGGGGGTACAAAATAAACTCTAAACTGTGATTAGCACGTGTTGCATTGGTAGTTGTTGACTGTGGGGGGTTTTTTACCTTTAGGTCCGACTTTGGCCAGTAGAGAATGTAACTGGAGCATGAGGTCTTCACTGGGAGAAGTTTCTTTTCCAGATTGGACGAGTAGCTGCAGAAGGATGGCTGTTCCTCCTTTAGATACGAACACTCCGACCCTGCGGCCCCCGCCTACAGCACCAAACACAATACAGGATTCAGCAGAGATAAACAGCCGATTGATTTAGCGGACCAAAGTCAACTAGCAGTTGTCTAATTTCCTCTTGTCTGATTACTCTTCCATGGGGTAAACCCCTAAATATATTTTTCATATAGTCTAAATTACAGCTGCAAAACTTTCCACTCACAGTTTTCAGAATAAAAGCTCACCTCCATTTCTCTTTTTCATGCCCTTGTCTGTTTTCCCCATAGACGTGCAGGGAGTGTTTTTCCTCTTCTCCTATTTTCACACCTTTTAATTTAAAGCCACCAAACTTACTGTGGAGGTTCTCAGCACTGATGCAAAGTACTCAGTGGCTTTTTACACCTTTAGCCCTCCTTAATCCCCTATAAACTAATATATATATATATATAAAGTCCTATGTCTCTTGCACCACATACCAATTAAAATGAATCCAGTCCAAAAGTTTCTCGTTTTATCTACACATTATTACCACACATCAGTCACACAGCACTGGAAGGCAGCAAGGTCATTCAGAGTCAAGAGCTAAAACAGCCCTGTTAAATCTGCCAGACATAGAAACCCACCCACTGTCAGCAGTTCATTCAGAATACACAGGATGTTCAGAATCGTCTGCAAGTCCCGTGTGTTCTGTAAAAGATTACAGGTGGTCAGTTTTGCAACATGAGCTTTGCAAAGCATTCAGACTATCATGGAAAGGTAAAGTCATTTGGAGTCTTTACACAAGGGAGTGAGCTTACCTCTAGAGAAGAGAGAATGACCTCCATCCCACTGGAGCCTTTGGTCATGATCTCTTTACGGGTCTTCTCTGAAACAGAACAGCAGGAAAGCTGTTAGTTACACACTAATCATTTCTATGCTAAAACAAAACTAACCAATGGATTAGTAGTCAGTTTATAGCAATACAGCCAACAGCAACTGAATCAGTCCTGCAGTGGCACCCTGATGTAAAGACTCTGGAGCTGTGGAAACAAGTTCTCTGGAGTGATCACGCTTCACTAACTTGCAGCCTGTGGGACGGAACTGCGCTTTGTAAGTGCCCGGAGAACGCTACCTACCAGAACACACAGTGCCAACAGTGAAGTTTGGTGGAGGAGGGATAATGATCTGGGGCTGTGTTTCAGGGTTTAGGGCTTGGCCCCTTAGTTCCAGTGAAGGGTGAAGTTAATGCTACAGCATACCACAACATTTTAGACAATTATATGCTTCCAGTTTTTAAGAGAAGGCCCCAGCATGACTGTGGCCCTGTGCACAAAGCAAGGTCCAGAAAGACACAGTTTTATGAGTTTGGTGTGGAAGAACTCCAGTAACCTGCACTGAGCCCTGATCTCAACCCCACTGAACACCTTTGGGATGAACTAAAACGTTGATTGCGAGTCGGGCCTTCTTGTCCAACATGAGTTTCTGACCTCACAAATGCTTTTTTGAGTGAATGAGCATAAATTCCCACAGATGCACTCCAAAATCTTGTGGAAAGCTTCTCAGAGGACTGTTATGGCAGCAAAGGGGAGGCCAACTCCATATTATGCCCAAAGTTTTGTAATATGATGTCTAGTTGCAGTGAGTGTACTGTTTCTTTCCAGCTAAACACGGTGCATTTATCAGCTTCAGTGGTTGCCAATTGAACATTTGTGGTGGCATTCCACTGTGAGTGCAGTATAAACTATTACTGGTCATCTACATTAGATTCGTAACTCCAGGACAACACCAAAGAGGTAAAAACCTAAAAACACCAAACATACCTACATTTTGCACGTTTCAAAGGCGTAGTCAAGTTTCAGTCAAGAAATGTGCTCAGGCAACAGTCTTTGAAATCCAAGAGTCCAGTAGCATTCTTGCAACGCCTTTCTCGATCATCTGAGCCATGTTGGTACGTTAACTCTCAGACCAGAGAAAAGAAAATGCCTTACTAGCAGTGAGCTAAAACAGCAAGTAAGCATTCCTTACGTGCTGAGTTTCAGTGTGTTGGCCATTAGAGCTAAAAAGAGGGTGCAAAACAAATAGGTCATAGAGGAGGGTACAAACACCTACAAACAAGGTCATAGCAGAGGGTAAGGGCTATAACAGAGAACTAGGCAACCAGAGTAGTAACCTCAAATAGCTTCCCACTGGACATACAGTACTCAGTCAAACTCAGGGACCACCCTTCATTTATTCAACTTTCAATCAAAACAGCTGTAGTGTGCAAGTTTTTCAGGAGATATTTCTGATGTGATCAGATATAAGACAAATACATGAGTTTCCAAAGCCTGAGCTCAAAAATAATTAAAAGATACAGAGAAAATGGGACTCCTAACAACCACCTGCAAGACCTGCTAGACCCCCAAAACTGTCACCATCACTGAGAAAAGGAAACAGACAAAAAAGAACATCTGCAAATCAAACAAATGAGCTGCAGGTGTTCTCAGAACACTGGACTGACCATCCCAGAGTCCAGACCTCAGCATCATTGAATACAGTTGAGATTACTTGGATCATGAGAAGCAGAAAATGCAACCAACTTCTAAGACTGAACTTTGGAGGTGTGGAAAAATATCCCTGCAGATTTCTTTTAGAAACTCAAAGCAAGTCTTTTGAAAAGAATGGAAGCTGTAATAAAGGCAAAGGGTGGACACACTAAATACTAAAAACAATATTATGTTTAGTTGTCAAAGCTTCTGTCAAATTCTCCATAAAATGTTTCCTGCTTTCATTCCTGAAGCTGAATAATGACTAACTTGTACTAAACAGCCATTATGACTTGACATTAAATAAATAAAGTGTGGATTCTGACTTTTGTACTGTATAAAGAATGTGGCTATTTGACATGTAGCCATTTACTCAGTTTTTGAAAGACTTGTACTATTTACAGACCATAATATTTTTACTTTTAATTAAGTATATTTGTGGGAAAATCTACTTTTATCTACTTTAATCTACGATTCCATTTTAGTTCTTCACATTTAGTTCCTAATTCTCCTTTTGTGCTTTATTTAATTCTGTCCTGTTGCTTTAGCACCTGTTCTGTTTTGCTGTTGCTCTCATTCCCCATTTTGTAGCTTTATCATTTTATTTTACATCAAAAGGATCCAACTAGACAGGAATCAGCACCTAACTAAGTTCATCTGGATGGTTCCACTGCAGTTCTATATGGACGTTTGGTTTAACCTGATACTTTTTTACTTCTGATAAAGTTGGCTCTGGAACCTTTTTTGTATCCTTGAAGTAACAAGATGTTTACTTGAGTTTGTGTTTAGTTGCTGTAACACACCTCTGAGGATAAACTTGACGTTAGCCATGTGTTGACATCGCTAGCACACGATGACAAGCGCTATAAATAGCGGAAGAAGCACAATGGAAACGTCCTCCATTTCATCACATCTCCACAGACGCGACACAGCAACAGAAACATCCAGCACTGCCCAGCTTTAAAACAACTGCAGATATACTGCCCAAAGTGACCAACGTTACTGACCAAGGCTCAGAAAATTGAGCTTCTACAACAGACACAATAAAAAGACCACCAAACAGAGAGCAGAGAGATTAAATCATTAATCACTTCCAAATCTTATGATTTAAGAGAGAGAGAGTGAGAGTGAGAGAGAGAGAGAGAGAGAGAGAGAGAGAGAGAGAAAGACATGTACACAGACAGAGACAAACAGAGTCATGCACACAGATAAAGAAAGCAAGAGAGGAAGACAGGCACAGAGAGAGAGCGAAAGACCCAGAAAGAGAGATAGAGAGAGAGAGAGAGAGAGAGAGAGAGAGAGAGAGAGAGAGAGAGAGAGAGAGAGAGAGAGAGAGGCACAGAGACAGAGAGATAGACAGAGAGACATGCACACCCACAGAGAGAGAGAGAGAGAGAGAGAGAGAGACAGAGAGAGAGACAGAGAGAGTGAGAGACAAGCAGACAAAGAGAGTGACACATACAGAGAAACAAAAAATGAGGGAGATAGAGAGACAAATAAACAGAGACAGAAAGAAAGAAAGAGATTGACAGACAAACAGAAAGAGAGCAAGAGACAGTAAGAGGGAGAGGGACATACAAACAGACATGGAAAAAACAAACACTAATTTTGTACATGATATACAGTCACATTGATAAAATTAACTGAATACACAAAAGAGAGTAATACAAAGTGAGAGAGAGAGAGAGAGAGAGAGAGAGAGAGAGAGAGAGAGAGAGAGAGAGAGAGAGAGAGAGAGAGAGAGAGAGAGAGAGAGAGTGTCTTCATGCAGTGAGATGAACATGTTACCCGCCTAAGCTGCTGATTTACAGACATAAATAAAAACATGCTGTGCAAATGAAATGCCGAGAATACAAGTGGTACACGAGCTGCTGGCCATTCAATCTCACAGCCACCCCAACATTCCCCACAACGCCCCCAACACCCCCCACCCCCCAATGCACTCACATGTGGAAAATAATCAGCACGCAACGTTCCAGAGGACCCGGTAGGAGTTTCAAGATGAAAATGAGTCCAGATTCACTACAGCAAATGAACAGAACCAAGGCAGGTATACGCAGTCGCATGCAAAAGTCTGAACACCCCGGTCAAATAACATCCCCTACAAGGGATATTTTTTGCATTTTTCCTGCTAATTTTAGTGCACAATTTATACTATTTGAGTTTAATGTCATGGAAAAAATAAAATAAAATAGAAAATGTACCTTAAATTTTGCACAGGCCACACTTTATGTTTCAATATTTTCAGCCACACTTTATTTGGATGGTCCCCTATAGATGCTCTACTTATACTATATTATATACTATAGCTACTTAAATCATTAACAAAATTTCTGGTCATTCTCATTATGGTTAGGGTTAGGGTTAGGAGTAGGTGTAGGTTTTGCCTTGAGGTTAAGGTTAGGGTAAGGTTTAGGGTTAGGAATAGATTTAAAAAACTCTTTCACACTGAACTTTAAATTCAGTTGAATTTAATGGGTATTTAGTTGAATGTTATTGAAAGGCAGACTAAGCATTTACAAGGCATCTATAGTGAACCATCTAAGTTACATTCAACTTCAAGTTCAGTGGCATTTAGCATGACTATTCAGTTGAATGTTACTTAAATATATACTGAATATTTACAAAGAATCTACAGTGGACCATCCAAATAAAGTGTTACCTTATTTTCTAATGGTAAATTCAACAAATAAACAGTAATTATGCATTAAAATGAGCAGAAATGTGCTCTTTGTAGAGGATGTGTTAAACGTATTTTCACTTGAAAATCAACAAAACCCGTCATTTCACTAGAGGCCGCCCAGACTTTGCATATGACTGTACAGGCCATGCATAATGAAAGATTCCTGTCTTTGCATAACTATACATATCTAACTGACCAAATTATTAGTAGCATTATTTGCTGATTCTGTTGTTGTAGGAAATTGCAAAGGCTCATCTGATTAGGTTATCACCTCTAATATACAGTTAAACCAAGTGTTGGAGGGTATTACTAAACTAAGATAATTGTTGTGTCTGGAATGGAATAAACCTAGTCAAAACACACTGTGTTATGTCTAAGCGTATGTTGTATTGTGTCTAAGAAGACAATGCAGACTAAAGCAGACTGAAGGCCTTATAACATCACATTACCTGCATAACAATGTTTCATGGCCTTAAGTGCAAGCAGCAGTCATTTTACATGCAGTCATAAAGAGCAGCCAAACACTATAAAGCATGGCTTTATTGATTTCTTTCAAACCCATATACCCATAGTCAAACAGACTGTACGTTCACAGTAATATGATTTACGTCCGTTTCCTGCAACGAGAAACCCACTGCCTTAGTGCTTACCCGGGCTGCACGAAGACCGAGTGCGCCTGTTTGTCCTTCTACTGCTGTTGTAGTCCATCTTCACCTTTCACTCACACGTGCCCACTAGACGAATGCTCACTAAAGCCACACTCTGAAAATTTTCCTCTGGACGCGGCCCCTCCCACTGTACTAATTCTTGCAGCTATGGCGACAGGTCAGTGTAATGACAGACATGCCGGGCACAGGAGAGAGAGAGGACGACCAAATGAGAGAGAGACACTGAGAGAGAGAGGGAAAAGGATTAGGAGAGAGAGGATATGGGGATATGGAACATTTCTAAATCCTCACTCCTGCCGATCTTGTAGGGGGGGTGGTGGTGGTCCTCAGTCCACAGACAGTGAAGACATGAGGGTTATGTGAGATATACAGTTACAGTTAGCCGGGTCATTGCCTGCTGGATGTCTTAAGAGCTCCCAGCGAGGGGTCTCAGCTGAAGAAGCGGGCCAGCACACTTGGATCTTCTGACCAGCTGTTTACTTAGAGTAGATTGAGTGCAGTGACTGATTTACCTATATGTAAACATAGAACATTTTTGCTACGCTAGTAGTTCAGCAAGAAAAACCAAATACACACGTCCCCTTTACCCCATGCAGTCAATCAGCCAAGACAGGCTTAGCATCCAAGGTTCATGTAGCTAAAAAGTAATGAAAGCTTATGCATCACTAATTATACACCAGTTGGCTCCATGTGAACTGCATGCCTGAGCACTTCCACACACCAAGTATGATTTTTAGAGACGTCAAGTGTAAAAAATTAATACATGCATATTAAAGTCATCTTTGACAGATTCCGAAACAATGGAGCCTTGCTGGTGACATCCCATATAAATAAAAATAATATGTGGCCATGACTTAGTAAAGCATGGGATCAAGATAATTAAGTCTTGGCCACAGCTTAGCAAGGTGTGGGAATCAGGTCCTAATGCATGGCCATGGCTTAGTAAGGCATGGGAATGAGATAATTAACTCTTGACCCCAGCTTAATAAGGCATGATCTTGTTCCTACAACTTAATTATCAAGTTCCCATGCCTTACTAAAATGTGGCCACACATTAGGATCTCATTACGCGTGGCCATGCATTATTGTTATTTATATGGGATGTCACCAGCAGGGCTCCATAGGAAACTGTTGGACTGTTGCACAAAATTTTTAATTGAAGCCAGTATCAACTTTCTGCACTCAAAAATATATGGTGTATCTAGGCCTGTTCTAGCTGCTGATTAATTGCCATATAAATAATTATTATTAAAAATTTCATTATCTTTTTCTGTTTATTAGTTGCAACTATTAAAAGTATAATCCTTAAGTGGGCAAAGTGCAGTACGCTGATCTTGCATCCTATCTGTTGATCCTCTTAACTGAGGACAGGCCTCAAACTATGCTATGAAAAGGAATTCCACTGGTTTCTCAAAATCTAAATATAACTGAACATTTAAGATATAAACAAAGTCATTCAGAGTGGTTTGGTGTGAAATACTCCATTCTAGAGAAACTTACTGAGTCAGAATCATTTACAGAAGAGTTTAATGCCTCTAAAAGCTCCCTCAAAGAAAGACATTGCATTAAATGGTTACGGATGTGCAGCCTGATCTCTGAGACACTGTTTTAATTTTTAAGAAGGTTTTTTGCCTAAAATGTATTTTACAAATCAATTTATGGCAGAGAGGTCCATGCAGGCCATTGTAAGGCAAAAATAGTCCCCAAAGAGAACAAGAATTTTCAGATTTGCTGCTATTTTACCTTCATCAACATTACATAGAAAGACGTGTAGGTTCACGGGTGATTTGGGATAGTAAATAAAATGGTTATATTTGTGTTGTAGACATCACAAACCCTGGTTCTTATCACCACAGTTGTAAGGAAATCTATGTCGGCAAGTTTCTCTACAATAGACAACTTCACATCAAACCACTCGGAATGACTTTACTTATACCTCAACAACAGAATTATGCTAAAATATTGGAAAATCAATGGAATTCCCCTTTAAGTAAACTGCAGAACCAAATAAGTTAGGATTACACTTTGGATAGCCCCCCACAGATTATCTACATATTTAAGACTTAGGGACAGGGATAGAGATTTGGAACAAGGTTAGGAGTTTCGATTAGCTTAAATTTAAGATTTAGCTTAAGTTTTAGCATTATAGTGAAAATGATGGTAAACTTAATAAATAATTAGTGTGATTAAAAACAAGGTAAGCATCTACAAAGCATCTATAATGGACTATCCAGATACACTGTTGGCAACAATAAGCTTTAAGCAAATGGCTGCTACTGCTGTTCTTAGCTGTGCAACGTACTTTCATCCATTTTTATAGGTGGCAACATGTCATTCAGTGTTTTGGTTTGTTTGTGCTATTCTATTCTAAGACTTGACATACTTCAAGGACAAAGTGCCAAATATAGCTTTTAGTGCCATTTGTCAGGTACTTTAAGTCTGGCGTATTGCTGTGTACTGCTTTCAACAATGAATGCCGAGAGAGTTGGGCAGGATTCAGATGTTTAACATAGTGTTTTTCTGTGCATTGTGCTTTAAGCAGAATGTAATGCATATGTACAGTCTGAACACTCCCGGGATATAGAATGTGTCACATGACAAGTCAGAGTATTGCCTGTAAAGGCATGAGTGCAATGTCTCACCTTGAGTCTGGATAAGGTGCAGGATTTTGCCAGTAACCTGTCTGATGGCCTCTGTGTCAGTGACCACAGCCTCTCCATTTAACCTCTCCAGTTGCCCCAGCAACATCAGCACCCGGGAACTACTGGGAATACTGCATGGATACACAGCCAAACACATTAGCAGCTAATACAAAGCCTTAGAGATATATGTTTTAAACTTTACTCGTGTCTAATGCAGGTGTATTACTTGATTTTACCAAAGGGCCCATATGATGGAAACTTGAATTTTCCCAATTTTTGTGAAATAAAAGGGTTTGCTGTAGTATGTATATTTTGTTTAAGTTTCGAACTGCAGAACCACACAGCCCAATGTAAATGAACTGTTTTTATGATGTCACAAAAACTCACTTTAAAACCTATTTAGTCTGCAACGGTTTAGCCCCGCCCACTCACAAGTTATAAGGAGTTTTTCAGCCTGGACTGCTTTTTGAATGAAGGGCAATACAGGGCAGCCAATCAGAACAGAGGTCATATGCATGTACCAGTCTGAAAAAAAATCTAATGAATGTGAATTTGAAATCGTAACACATTGTCCTTCCTTGGCATATTTCCGAGTGAGACACACTATTAGAGTGGGTCTTTAAACTAGATGATTGTTTTCGGTGTAGGTGAGGATTGTTAAAAGGGGAGGTTAAACATGATAACACTGGTTAATATTATTTATCCCCACTCACTAGTGCAAGGTGACTCAGAAGACATTTTAAGGCTGGCAAAAGTCGCAAAGATCTCTACACTGTGATGAAAGATCACCAGAAAATAATAATTATGTCTTTTGAATTGTATAGCATGAAGAAGCATGGTTATTATTAATAAAAAAAGGCCAATCTTGCAGCCTGGTTAAGTTTGAAGGATAATGACAGGTCGGAAAGTGGTCATATAAAAATAAATCATGACTGTTCAAACATCATAACTGAAAAAGGAGTGAAAGAGAAACAAAAAGGAGTGAAAGAGAAACTACTCAAACATCATAACTGAAAAAGGAGTGAAAGAGAAAAATCAATGCAGGATATGGGCCCTTTAAGTCTTTATGTGCAAGTAATGATCTGTGGACATGTCTGTCTGTGTGGGGTCACCAACCCTTTCTCTGTAGCCATTTTGGGTTTATTCATTTCTTGCCACCCACATAGAGGTTAGTCACACTGCAAAAGACAAGAAAAAGCCATTACCTTTTTACCTGAACAAAATGAGATATACATGACTGAACTGACAATATTTAAAAGCTTCATACCAGCACCTCCACTTCAAATAACTGCCTGAATCACGGTATATCCTATGTGACACAGAACAGCATACAGAATTTCCTGACCTTGGTTCTAGCTAATGTTTTCCTGGTGCTAGTAAAGCCGTTAGGTAACTTGATAAACTGCAGACAGCATATATAAATCAGCCAGAGCTGTCGTTATGTAGCCAGTTAGCTAATGTTAGCACGAAGCAGAAGTTGGCTTCCTATTCGCCAGCTTGTTGGTCGAATTTTCCCGTTCCACCTTAAATGCTGCTGCCTTAGATACTTCCTGAGGCGCCAGAATGTAACTACTACACTATTTAAGGCGGAACGGAAGAATTCGAACAACAAACTGGCGAGTAAGAAGCTGATTTCAGCTACGGCAGGTTAGCAGTGTCAGAACATGCTGAAAATCGAAAATGCAATACAATGCAATGACACATGATAAATAAGACAACTCCTCAAACAATTAAACGAGTCTAGTATTTTTTAATTTAAACTGACAGCTGTCACAACCATACAAGCTATACAGGACTGCGAGCGAACTCAACACATCATCTGCACCTGCCCTAGCCGGTGGCTAACCAGCTAGCTAGCGAGAAAATCTAACACTGAAGTAACTGTCAGGCACTGAGGACTCAAAACCAGGGAAAAGGCATATTTACCGAACTTTAAAGAATTCAAAAGCTGCTCCATCTGAGCACAAGGGCTCCTTCTCTGTCCCTCTGTTATCTCAAGCAGCTGCTTGCAACGCCCTGTTGTTATTATTTACTAGCAATCCATCTGGCTAGCCTGCCAGTATACACTGGGGCAGCCACTACTGACTTTGCGCAGATCCTGCGATCTACAAGTCATAATCAGTCAGACAGGCCTCGAACAATGATTTGAAGATCTACGAGTTAAGCGAATACAATTAAGTGAACGGTCGTCTGGGAAACGTAGGACTTTGGAGGGAATACTTTACATTCTGGTTAACATATAACCCAAAAACTCACCATGAGGCACCGGAACCAGCAAACAAAAAATGAGTAATTTTTGAGCAGAACCGTAACTATTTTTGGACAAAGGGAACAAAAGCCGTGCATGTTTTGAATGAGGTAGAACTACAAACCCCATAATGCAGTTCGAGTATGACGACGTTCGCCAGTGCCCAGTGGAAGCGGTGATGAGTGGTTGTAAGGGAATAAGCCACTAACTTACAAGGTATATAATCTATTTACTTTTAAAAAATTATATCAACGGTGACCGGTAAGTAAACGCGTTGTTCATATGTTGCTGTCTAGAATGAAAATTTGTATTATAATTCGTGGTCGTTGGTTGTTTAGTCGGCATGTGGCAGGTTGCTTGCTAGCTAACAAGCTAGCGACTGAATGTCAGGCACACTGTACACAACGAAGCTGAAGTCAGCTTCTTGTCCGCCGGCTTCTGGTTCGAATTTTTCCCTTCCACCTTAAATGGTGCAGCGGTTAACTGCTGCTGCACCATTTAAGGTGGAACGGGAACATGTTGACAAGAAAACTGCCTAATAGGAAGCCAACTTCAGCCTCGTATACATATACTTACCGTATTCGATGGATTTCGCTCGTTTAAGCAACGCGTTTCTCACTGGATGTCGTACTTTTTATTACATAGGTTATAACAAAATGTTGATATTAAAATCTTCTG